TGCACTCCAGCCTGGGTAACAAGAGCGAAACTCCGTCCCAAAAAACAAAAAACAAAACAAAATAAATCAGGTTGTAGGTAAAGTCTCGGGTTTGAATAGCAGATTGTAAACAGTCTGCAACAAGTCACATAGCATACTATTTACGGAAGAAACTGGTCAAAATAAACGTACCCATCAAAAAAAGAATAGAAAGAAAACACCAAATCGGATGTGTGATATGGTTTGGCTGTGTCCCCACCCAAATCTCATCTTGAATTTCCATGTGCTGTGGGAGGGACCCGGTGGGAGGTAACTGAATTATGGGGGCAACTCATTCCCATCCTGTTCTCGTGATAGTGAATAAGTCTCAAGAGAGCTGATGGTTTTAAAAAGAGGACTTCCCCTGCACAAGCTCTCTTCTCTTTGCCTTCTCTTCCCCTGCACAAGCTCTCTTCTCTTTGCCTTCTCTTCCCCTGCACAAGCTCTCTTCGCTTTGCCCACATAAGATGTGACTTGCTCCTACTTGCCTTCCACCATGATTGTGAGGCTTCCCCAGCCATGTGGAACTGTATATCCAATGTGGTACTCTTTCTTCTGAAAACTGCCCAGTCTCAGGTATGTCTTTATCAGCAACGTGAAAACGAACTAATACAATGCTCTAGAAAGGTAGGTAGTGAACTTTCTTCTTCTGTTTGCCAACTTTTCTGTGATGTTTATTATGGTTTTACAATGGGAAAAATGTCTTTAATGTAAATAAGCAAAAATTAGCTGACATGATTTTCAACAAATTATTCTAAGGCACTACACACTTAAATTCCATTAAGAAATTCCAATTCCACTATATTCTGATAATTTATGTCTGGCTATTCATATCACAGTAATCAGACCTAAACACTCTTTGGAAGAGCGTCGTTTTTTTTTTTTGTGAGACGGAGTCTTGTTCTGTCACCCAGGCTGGAGTGCAGCGGTGTGATCTCAGCTCACTGCAACCTCCACCTTCTGGGTTCAAGGGATTCTCCTACCTCAGCCTCCCCAGTACCTGGTATTACAGGTGCGCACACACCACACCCAGCTAATTTTTGTATTTTTAGTAGAGGCGGGGTTTCACCATATTGGCCAGGCTGGTCTGGATCTCCTGACCTCATGATCTGCCCACCTCAGCCTCCCAAAGTGCTGGGATTACAGGCATGAGCCACCGCACCCGGCCTAAAACTCTTTTAAACAAAAAACCTTGATTTTAAGGATATTGATGGCTTGGAAATCAAGGCACTATTCATCATACTGATCAATCACCTGTCCATATTCTAATTTATTTACTTCAGGAAAAAAAGTACATAAATGTAAATAGCCACCAACTAGGTTGATTTTAGGTACACAGATCCTATTTTAAAATCTACATCATAGAAAACTCATTCATTCTCTATATATTTATCTTATCCTTTCTTCTGTTGTGAAACATGAGCCTGAGATACTTGTCCTAGCCACTACACATCTGGCAGCTAGAGCACGCAGGGAGTGTAAACAAATTTAAGCCAGATCAGCATACTGATAATGTATTTCTTATTCATGAAGTAACAAATCAGCTTGTTTCTTGTTTTGATGCTATAATTTTTTACAACAGCTCCAAATATATAGAAAATGAAAAAAATTTTAGCTATGCTGTTTTAACATATGTTAATTCTGATATGAAGAGTTGGGAAAATCACAATAAGACAAAATTAAAACATCAATTAGACTAGGAACAGTGCCGCATTATTTAAAGAAAAACATTATCTATCTTTCGATTCTGTGATCACTAATAACTCTGGCTGAATATTCTCTAAACATAAAATGACTAATAGCAACAAAAAGCAATATAAACTTGACTCAAGGTCACAAATTCTGTAAACAGAATAGAAAGTAAAAATCGTCTGATATGCACAGTTAAGATTTCACAGAGATTGCCAAATGTATTTTTTTTTTTTTTTTTTTTTTGAGACGGAGTCTCAATCTGTCTCCTAGGCTGGAGTGCAATGCCACAATCTTGGCTCATTGCAACCTCCGCCTCTTGGGTTCAAGCGATTCTCCTCCCTCAACCTCACGAGTAGCTGGGACTACAGGCATGTGCCACCATGCCCAGCTAATTTTTGTATTTTTAGTAGAGACAGGGTTTCACCATGTTGCCCAGGCTGGTCTCGAACTCCTGACCTCAAGTGATCAACCATTCCTGGTCTCCCAAAATGCTGGGATTACAGGCGTGAGCCATGTGCCTGGCCAAATGTATCTCTATTAAAAGGTTCACAGATTTTAAAATCTCTATCTTTGTAAGAATATTAAAAATAGCAGAATAATCTAAGTAGTACAAATTGTAATTTAAAACCCTTCTCAAATGTCTTTCACAGATTTTCAGATAATTTGTCAAAATTTCTAGACCCTTTAAAAGAATGGAAGGTTGGTCTAACTTGATGAAAGGGAAAGCACATGACTATTTGCCTGTTCATTAATCACTGTATTTTTGGAGATTTATCATTTCAAAGGCATTTCAACAACTTGGTTAACCCCAAAGATGACTTTTGTTAAAAAAAAAAAAAACTTACTGTGAACAAAAATAAGACAATTGCTGTTTTAGAAAGCTTAAAGCTCAGAGAAAAAGACATGTTAACAATAATACAAGTCAAAATTTAAAAGTGCTTGAACAAGAGAGAGAGGTACAATTATCATGCTGGAAGCACAAAACTAATCATTCAAAAAATATTTATGAAGCAGGTACTCTCACACAAATGTCAGACTAAGCACTAAGAATACAGCAAAAACAAGAAGCCATCTCTGTCCCACGTTGTGGCTAAGGTACAGACACTGAACAAGTGAAATTAAGTACAATAAATATTACAAAAAGAGTAACAAGAATAACAGAAAAGTGCAATCGATTCTGTCCAGAAGGATCATGAAAAACTTAAGAGAGCTGTTGGTATTTGAATTGGGTCTTAAAGACTAAAGTATTTTAACAAACAAAGGAAAACTAAATAGCCACCAGATCTTACAAAGGGCAAACAAGAGTTCATATGGCAAATTATTCATCTGAATCATGTTAGACACAGATAAGCAAAACTTTATACCAAGAAAAAGTTATTTATCCAGAGACAGAGGTATTCAAACTGCAAAAACCATCCATTTAAAATCATACAAAAGAAAAAAGTTGATAAAGCTATCCCTGATTTTAGTCTAAATATTAAGTAATATTCATTGTTTCAAAAGATAATGAATCAGCATTAGATTTTTAGGGACAAAATGAAGTTTTTCTATCATAAAATATATCAATTTATAATTTAACCTTAAGACCAAAACAATATAATAAAAATCTTCCTATCCTTCCTGAGAACTTTCAATGAAAAGCCAACACTATTCAAATATTTGATCAGTTAAGGAAAAGCATACAAGCTAAGGAAAAGCACAGCCTGCTGCACAGGTAATGACTTAGGATAGTGAGTAAGGTAACTCAGAAAAGGTTTGATCATAGGAACATAATACCCTCTAATCTTAATACCCCTGTTCACTGAATCTCTCTACTAGGCAGAAGATCAAAACATGATCTATTATCCCAAAGATTTCTCCAAGCCATTAAGCAACTTTTGTGAAATCTGACTTTTTTTGATGAGCTGACAAGCAGTGTGGCTATGGTCCAAACACGGACCTATACTCATGAACATATCCAATCCAATTCTCTCCTCAAAATTTCAGTTACTAGTCATGTAAAGGACTTTGGCTACTGCACCTTTTACATTTTAATATTAAAAGCTGTCAACAGGCCGGGCGCGGTGGCTCAAGCCTGTAATCCCAGCACTTTGGGAGGCCGAGGCGGGTGGATCACGAGGTCAAGAGATCGAGACCATCCTGGTCAACATGGCGAAACCCCGTCTCTACTAAAAATACAAAAAATTAGCTGGGCATGGTGGTGCGTGCCTGTAATCCCAGCTACTCAGGAGGCTGAGGCAGGAGAATTGCCTGAACCCAGGAGGCGGAGGTTGCGGTGAGCCGAGATCGCGCCATTGCACTCCAGGCCTGGGTAACATGAGTGAAACCCCCTCTCAAAAAAAAAAAAAAAAAAAAAGCTGTCAACAATGTGAGATCCTTTGACACCTGTGAATTATGTCTTTGGAGTAAAATTAGCTATTTTTAAATCCCAGTATGACTTAACTGTGCTACCCAATATGTCTGTAGGTCTTCTCATATAAGCACCACTTAGAGTGCATCTGTCAGAATATAGCCTAATGTGAATGAGAAGCCTGAGAATACTCAACAGTAAATTTCTGTATTCTAACATGCAAACGTATTCATGAGATATTTGCTAAAAGAAAAAGGCAATTATTATTGCTAATAATTATTGAATAAGGATCACTTCATTTGTTTTTAAAACTATACATTCGCATATAGGTGTGTTTAAAAGCAGTAGCAATAGGCCATGAGCAGCGGCTCATACCTCCAAATCACAACACTCTGAGAGGCTGAGGTGGAAGGATGACTTGAGGCCAGGAGCTGGAGACCAGCCTAGGCAACACAGCAAGACTCCCATGTCTAATAAATGGATGAAGAGTTGGTAACAATGACAGAAGGGACTTGAACAAAAACACATGCACTCATATCATATATGCTGTGTATAAATTTTGTATTTAAAAAAACTTCATTTTTTAAGTCACTAAAAGAAATTACTTATTAAGGTCAACCTTTTGAAAAAAGTTACCCAATTTCACATATTTTGAGAATTCTCTAAGGCACATCTGCCCTCTAATAATAAAGACAACTGCTACTTATATTGCTCATAAAATTACTGGTACAACTTTGCTCCTCCTTAGTCACTACTGCTATATCAAAGACATCTATACTTCTCTAATTTATGCTTGTTCCCTTCTGTACTGTGCAACAGTAAATGTTAACATTTCCAATCATCACCAATATTTATCAAGCACCTACCATATGTAGAAACACAGTGCGGTAGGATACAAAGAAATTGTATCTGCCATCAGACCTTGCAAACAAGCTGAAGAGAGAAAATGCTCTTACGTTAATGAACAGATAGCTCTACTCTTAAAAAGTGGTTGTCTTCCCCTGCCCAACATTGTCGTTATTTAATTCTGAAAAGATTATTTTCAAGCATGAAACGTCCTCCAGATAGACTGATAGTTTTACCATTGTTAGAAACTC